ATTAAAAATGTGTGTTAAAATAACTTCTCCAATGCGATGATGGCATGCAGACCAGAGCAATGCACAGCCAATTCTTTGCTGCAGAGCCACACACACAGCACTGACATGTCAGGTATTCTTGACCATAGTATTAAAAGTCATGTTTACTATTGACTCAGCACAGTTCTATGACTGCAACAACTACATTGTAGCATTAGTGATGATATCTCAAGATCATTGATCTGTTCCTGGTTGATAAGCAGGCACGCCAAGAACATTGACATTGGTGTTGTTGCCAACAGTGACCATAAGTTTTTCTTGTAAGTCATGTGTTGCCTGGTTCTTCATCAGTTTAGAATCCTAGTGCAGGGAAGCATACTTTGGTGGAACCCATGACCTCCAAACTTCAGAAGCCATTTCTTCATTCACCATACGCCAGGACCTATCTGCTGCTGTGCTGTGGCACATGATCAGGGTTGGAAAAACAAATAAAACCCAAAAATACCAAAAAAAAAACAGTGGGTTTTTTTTGGTATTTTTGGGTTTTATTAGGTCAATTTGGGTTTTTTTGGTTTGTTTTTTTTATTTCATATCTGTTAAATTTTTGTTTGTTTTTTGTTTAATGATATTAAAAATTAATATAATTTTCTACTTTAACTTTATTTAAAATATATTTTACACAATGTTATTTAATAATTTATAAAAAGAAATTTTTATATTATTTTGAAAAAGATTTTTAAACATAATTTAAAACTATAATTAAAAAAATTAATTTCACGTTAAATCTATATGTATTAATTTATTTTAAACTTGTTTTTCTGCGCATTGGCCTTGTTTATAAAGGTTCATATTACAGAGTTAAAGAGTTGAGAGAGGGTTGTGACCACAATAAGGTAGCCTCCTCAACTGTAGTGGCCTTCTCAGACTTGGGAGCTGAATAACATAAAATATAAAAAAAATCGAAATCTATAAAAATATTTGAGAATAAAAATTGTGATAATAGGCCGGGTGAATAAAAAAAAAAACAATTGTTCACAAGCAATTGGTTTGAGTAAAAGTAAAAGCTAAAAAGCAAATGCTCATAAAAAATGCTCATAGCAATTGCTATAAAATATGTGAATAAAGTTTTGCTTTTACTCATAAGCAATTTTACTATTTTGTGATGATGAAGAAATACTTAGAGAACTTGACAACATGTTGGAAACTTCATCCAAGAAATATTTGGAGAAATAGACCCAACAAGAAAAATATCTTTAAATATAAGCGGAAGCTTAAGAGTAAATGCTTACTTTAATTGAAAACTATATATATATATATATATATATATATATATATATATATATATATATATATATATATATATATATATATATATATATATATATATATATATATATATATATATACATATATGTGTGTGTGTGTGTGTGTGTGTTTGTGTAATATATATGTATATTTACCACGGCTGTTTCAGAGTGAGCTTTACGGCTTCTTGTTTTTTTTTTTGAAAATTTTGACTTAGGGGGTGTTACCAAAACATTTATAACTTTTGAAATATTAGAGATAATTTTGTTTTGTAAAAGGAATAAAAACAAAAATAAAATGTTTTATCATACGACATTTAATACAATAGTAAAAAAACTTCTTTTAGTTTATAAAAAGCGCAACAAATGATGAACTTGGTTAAATTTTAATAATTTGTTGTTACTTTTTATCAAAAAAAAAAAATCAGAAAAATATAATTCTGATAGTTATTATTAAATACACTCATTGTTTAACTATTAATAAAATAAAAAAATCCTACTTAATTGTTAAAGGAAAACTAAAACAGTCTTTATTAAAGTCTGCAAGCAAACCGCAAAATTATGAAAAATGTTGTTAAAGGGGGGATTAGCTGTTAAATGAGCATGTTTTTAAGTCTAGAAGTTTTTGTTTTAGAAAACAATTCACTAAGTTTATAAATTCAATGCATTATAAAATAAAACCAGATTTCAAGTTCGAAATATTTATTCTTAAAATTTTAAGCTAAAGCCTTTAAAAAACTTGAGCAATTCTTTTCTATGCATTCAATTTTAATAATATGGTGTTAGGTTGATAATAAATAAAGACTCTAATAATTCATGACCAAAACTGAGTTAAAGTTTTTGAAAAAACCTCACTTTTAGTAATAGAATTATTTTATGGCACTTGAACCAATCTTTTTACACAAAAAATAAACGTTTCTTTAAATATACAAATAGCTAATTTAAATTGTTTGATAATGTGTTTTTATTCTCATAAAAACTTTGATTGATCCATTAATAAGTTGATCCATTAATAAGTTCTTCATGTAGAAAACGATCTTTAAACACCCAGTTGGTAATAGATTTATGCACCATTCTAAAGAAAAAACCGCCTAACTTTGTTTATTTTATACTTCAAAATTCGTCTCGCTAAGAAAGTTGTTTTCATAAAATATATTACATATTTGCTTGGGACGTACAGAATTAAAGGTCACGTGATTGTTTTGAAATGTAAACAGTGTTTTGCGCATTAAACTAGAAAAATTTGTTTCTAAACTAGCTAAGTTTGAAAACATATTTTATAACATAGCTAGAGGTACAGCAAACAATTTTTTGATTTTTATATGCAGAAAGGGTTGAAATTTCAATAATTTGGTGCGGATTACAAAAATAATACGATTTTCATTATTTAATAATAAAATTAAAAATACAAATGCATCAAAAAATAGTTAAAAAATAAAAAATAGGCAATCCGCACCAAAAATTAGATAGAATAGACATTTATTTATAAATGTTCCAAATTTCAACCATGAGGCATGTAGCTATGTTATGAAATCTTAGTTGACCCAAGACAGGTTTTCTGTAAAAGCCACAAAAAACAGAAAAGTGATCCCAAATCATTAGCAATATTTTAACATTAATATTTTTATTCCATTTAATGTATTTTTAAAAATATTTATTTTTAAAAAAAAGATAGGTCTTTTATATTTTTTTTATTTTAAAGTTAGTGCAATTTTTAACTTTTTTTGCGGAAATACTTTTTTTTTTTGATAAACACAAAAACAATTGTGACGTTGTTTTCACAGGCCTTCTTTTCTGTTATTATTGGCTTTCTTGAAGAAAGGAATGACCTACTTCAACACAATTTTTGCACTGTCACGTTTCGATCGCTTAATAGACAGGCCAGCTTGTTGATGAAATATGTAGCATTGCAGCACTTGCTCACTTGTCGGTAATATGCAACAAGTTCTCCACATCTGCTTCTGTAATACCAGCTACAGCTACTATTCTAAACACTGAACTTTTCTGACAAGTCTTTTTTGGCATAAACTTCACAGCAGATTGTGCCATGCTATTGGTACAGTGGTTGCTAACTCCTGAAAACACAAATAGAGTTTGAAACATTCTACAGTAAGAAGATATAAATTATAAAACTCTTCATTCATGCTAAGTTAGACATACAAATTTGCAATAATATTGAAGTAAGCTATATTTCATGCTTCATGCGGACCCATTAGGAATTATATTTTTATAATATTTCACACAGTAACAACTTAACACCAAAGGAACATGTTTATTATAGAACAATTAAGAATTTAACCCATGAGGGGGTTTGATGCACCCAAATATATATATATATATATATATATATATATATATATATATATATATATATATATATATATATATATATATATATATATATATATTATATATATATATATATATATATATATATCCTTATATTGTAGTCGAAAGAGACTTTTAATGTAAAAAAGTCTCTTTCGACTATAATTTTGCTACTTACAACAATTAAGCTGCATTTTATTGTCGTCGAAATGTCAAAGCAATTAAATTAATGCGAAAGTACATTAAATTTTTTTGTTTTTTAAAAAACCCGCAATAATAATAAAGAAAGTTTTTTTTAATTAATGGTGTTTTTGTTTTTGTTTTATTAAAATATATTTTTAAAACATGAGCAGAGTTGCTACATTGACTATCTTATAGCGTGCTGCTACCAGGGAGTGTTGCTACATCGATTATCTTATAGCCTGACTCGCAACAGAGTGTTGCTACATCAACTAACTTATAGCCTGACTCGCAACAGAGTGCTGCTACATCAACTGACAAATAACCTGACTCACAAGGGAGTGCCGCTACATTGACTAAGATTTTAGTTAGGGCAGGCAGTCTATAATTTAGTTATTATTTTAGTAATTTGTGTCAGCATAGATTTTTTTTAGTACTAGAATATTAACTTTATTTCTGCACAAAAATATATTCAAATGTATTGAAGGAATGTTGGGACTTTTTTTTAATATACTCAGACATCAGCAAAACCTTTTATCTTACTTCCTGCCAAAATTCATTAAAAAAAAAAAGCTCGCCCAGACATCTTACTAACTCACCCAAAATAGGTACCTATTTTTGACTTGGGTAGTTGAGGAAGGGCATATCATAACAAACATTTGAACATTAATAGTGTTTTAATGTATGTTATGATATAAAATAATATTGAATAGTATATATAAAAAATTAAAAATATAAAAATTATTTTAAAAAATTCAAATTTTCAATGAAAAATTGAAATTTTCTTTAAAAAAATCTAGATTTGAATATATTAAACAGTGTTAAAGATGCCCTTCTTACACCCCATATACATCTTTTATGAACCCTTATTCTCTTTTTTAAGACCTTTCTTTTGATACCAAGCTTTATGAATTTTGATAAGAATTATGTTATGTTATGACATTTATAGTAAAGAAAAGTCTAAATTTGGTCACAGTTTATTCAACTAATTCATATATCAAAAATTCGACACTTTGAATGGTATAACTTCGTAGAATTGTTTGATTTTAATAATTTTTTCACTTTTAAAGTACTGTAATGAAGGTCTTTCCAATTATATATGACAATCTAGTATTTAATTGATTTAAAAATTGTATGTGTGTTAGTGTTAAATGATTCAGCATACTTTACAAAACAATAATATGAATACACAAACTAAATAAAACTTACCAATTTTTTTAATCTACCTGCTTGTTCTAGATGATATGTTAACTTTGAAAGATTTGTTGGTCGATGTTTATCAATCCAAAGACTCATTGCAATTTATAATTTCCTATTAAATACCAAGTAATTTATTGTTAATTTTCTCAAATCAACAACGAAAAATACTGATCTATATAACCAATGTAAAAGTACAATTCATCATAGTTATTCAATGTTAAATAAAATACAGAATAATTTGAAAATAATAAAATTTAATAAATAGCCTTAAATTAAAGTGGCCATTGTTCTTTATTTTAGAAAGATGGCAAACTTAATATATATTTTAATACACGTTACACTTTTAAACAGGCACAAAATCAAAATGTACATTTTCAGGAAAACACATAGTTTTAATAAAACTAGATACATGAATGTTTACATCATTCATCAAAAAAATACTTTATCATGTACTAAAACTTGTATCAAATAAATATAATTTTGGGGTATTTTCACATTTTTTCGTAAAACTTTAGCAATATTCATCATTAATCATGGTACTTTAGATTGAAATTTATTTAGTTATTTATTTATTTATTTAAGTAGTTATTTATTTAGTTATTTATTTATTTAAGTAGTTAGGTTTTCATCAACGCACAGCTCAGAAATTTAAGATTTAAGTTTACTATCGGAATACCCAAAAAATGTTAATAATTATAGTAAGAGGGGCATCTGGATATTTGCATCATAATATATATAGTAAGTGAGGACACTTCATTTTCATATTTAGAAAAATCTGGGAGGTATCACATTTTTAGATAATTGACATTGAAAATCTGCTAAAAAGTCATTTTTTTTCATATTTCAAAAAACTAAATATACTGACAGTAAAATTAGCATAAGATAACTTTATATTTCAACTTTTTTAATTTTGCGTTTACACATCAACATCAATAGACTGTTTCAAGTTGGCAAAAAAAGTTTAGATACGCTTAAAATTAATTTAGGAACATTGTAATGCTTAGTAAAGTAGAACATATTAATAGTATATAAGTAATTTAGTAAAATAGTAGTATTGTATGCATAGTTGCCTAATAACTTTATATATAAACAATAATAATATAATAAATACTAAATAAAATATTTTAAAGTCATTTATACTAATGTATTTTTATTGTCTTTTTGAATTAATTTACAAATGTTTTTAAGTTAAGATTTCAATAATGTTTGTGTTTTGATGTACAATTGATGTATATATTTAATAATTTATTTGAAATGAAAACTTCATTAATTCTTTTGGAAGGGGAAAAGCTACCTGTTTCTATACTATTTTAGAAAATTTAGAAATACTTTCAGAAAGATTTGTGCTAGCCTTAAAAGGTGAACATTTGTGGCACTTACCTCTAGCAATTTCACAGAAGCATATTTGGCAAAGTTTGCAGTTATGAGCTAGTTCCCCTTTCCATACTTTTATTTAATAATCTATTTCTTCCTTGACTTGACTGCATAATATTGAGCAATCTCTAGAGGTTTGCATGCTAGACAAATCAGCATTTTCCCATTTTAGAGTAACTATGCCTGCAATAGTTTTACCAGTCTTATAGAGATATAAATTTTTCTAACAACCTGGGCATAATCAAATGAAAACTCTGGCTAACAGAAAACTTGAACCAGACCTTCCAAATTTTTATTAACTGGGATGCATATGTTGTTCTTTTCAACGCAGCAACAGCAGGTGATCTTTTGAAAATGTACATGGTCTCTTTTAACAAGATCTTTTCTACTTTCCTTTGAGAGCGGAGGATCCATAGATTTAATATATTAGGTATCAATAATAATATATAGATATCTATATTACAATAATATTATAATATAGATATAGATACCTATACCTATATTATTAATATAGGTATGGGTATTTGTAATTAAATAAAAATAAAAAAGCATAATCAAAAATCAATATTTTTATTACTAAATGTTTTTTTTGACCAACTTTGAGTATTCTAATTATATTTATATATAAATATTAGATTAAAGGCCTTGAAAAGTTGGTATATGGACATTTTTTTAATTAAACTTAAACTTTTTGTCAGTTTTTCTGCCAGTATTTAGTTTTTTTAAATACGAAAAAAAAAAGACTTTTTAGCAGATTTTCAGTGTCAATTTTCTAAAAATGTGATACCTCCCAAATTTTTCTAATTATGAAAATGAAGTGTCCAGATGCCCTACTTACTATAACTGTTAACATTTTTCGGGTACTTAGATAGTAAACTTAAACCTTAAATTTCTGAGCTGTGAACGATAGATTTAATAACTTTTTCCGAAACTCCCGCCATTTAATTTCGGTGCCCGGTGCTTAAATTCGGGAGTGCGAATTGACATAAATTCGCCAAATAAATTTGCTAACATCGCACAGTGCCAGGTGGTGGACAAAATTAAAAAAATACATTATGAAAAATTACATTATTATATACCACTTTATAGCTTAAACACTCAACTTTTCTAAAATGTATATATTTTTGTATAATTATCATGCCTTATATTTCTAAGCTATAGAATAAAAAGCTTTTTTTTAAAAAAAAAAATTAAAAAAATTTTTTTTTTTATAATTTGATAGTATTTTATGGTACTGATAAGCATGGAATAGATGTTAACATTAAGACCTATCTTTTTAGTGCATAATTTAATAAAATCAAGTATTAATTTTCAAATAAGCTATTACAGCACTATTTTGCATGTAATTTATGTCAAACAAAATGGTTTCAAATGACGGGGTATTTGAAGTACTTTTTTTAGTTAAAGTTTCACTTATAAATTCGAATACTTTTTCGGTCTAAAGCGGTCCAGTAGTTTGGAACTTTAACAATGAAATACATTGTACGTTTTAAAAACGTCTAAAACACGTATTACTACGTATTTTTATACGTCTTTAACGCGTCTTTTACCCATAAGTAGTGACTAGCTAGTTCATCTCTCACCGGGTAAATGATGTATCCGATTTTATGTGGCAAAACACTATATGTATTTTATTCTAAATGGTTATGTAATAATTGGGTGTCAACAAGACTAGATTTGTGTTCAGCAAGACTAGATTTGTGTTAAAAACTTGCTTTATTAATTATACATTCTAAAATACCTATTTGTAAAATTTTGTAAATAAAACTGATATTTTTATATAGTTAAAACAAGAAAAGTATTGATTTTTTTTCATAAATAATACAAGAAAACGTGAAGTTAGCTAATCCTAATATTTTATCTACACAAAAAGGCTAAAACTCAGGGTTTTTTTAATATGAATTATGTAGTAGTTACATGAAATATAAAATAAAGTCTTGAAACTGCATAAAAATATTTAAAATTAGCAATTGGGAATATGTTGAATTTTTAAATGCATAAAATAATTTTTATTCAGACTGCCACATTAACATTGTTCTAGTTATAACGTTGATGCTTGTTACTTAAGCTAGTAACTTTGCAAAATGAAGCAACAGGCATTTTAGGTGTCACTATCAACCAAATAAAAAATCCATAGTACCACTACAATTGTAGTATCAAAATACTCAATGTGGTAATTATGGGAGAAATCTAATAAAGTTATTACTTTTTCTACTTTATATTTGTTAAGGTTATAAAATACGTGGTTGCTAAGCAATTTAGGTATCCATAGTTTTGTCCAGTAAAAGTGAACAAAACTAATAACTCGTCATATAAAAAATATTTAAGAACCATTTTTGTACTGTTTACTAATTTGAGGATTGCGGTTCAATGGCGAGATTAGTTTTAATTTTGGATTGCTAGGATACCTAAATTGCTAAGCAACCACATATTTTATTAACCTTAATTTAAGGTAGTAACGGTTCATTTTGCATAGTTACTAACTTAAAAAACTTTTCTTAAAGCATCAATGTTATAAACTAGACTAATATTAGTATGACAGTCTTATTAAAAATTATTTTATACATTTAAAACATTTAACACATTCCCAAATACTAATTTTAAGTGCTTTTGCAGTTTTAGGACTCTATTTTATATTTCATGAAACTACTATGCACCTATAAAAAAATACATAACTCATATAAAAAGTAACCTAATGCTCAAACCTTTTTGTTTATATAATAATATAATAGTTTTGATTTAAAATTATTTTTCAAATATATTCTGATAATAGTAAAACAGCTTTAGCTTCTATTTCTTTGCCATCTTAGCACAAACTATAACCTGATGTAAACAATAGTTCTTAAGATGAATATGATGCAACTAATGGCGTTAATCTTCTTTTCTTTGTTTTATTATTCAAAGTATAAAAATTCACATGGGGCCTGTTAGATACTACAGTTAAATAAGAGTTTTTTTTATCAATTGAAGCAGTTAGAAGATTTTTCTTATAACCAGTTACAAATTGTAGCCATTTTGTAGCCATTGTTTGTTATTCTCTTCAAAACGAATAATAGAATTTTTTTTTGCATTTATACCTTTGTTGAAGATGATTTATGAAATTAAACAGTTTATTTTTTGCAGTTAAACTTATATCATTTACAACTGCATCCAAAATATTAGGATTAGCTAAGTTCAGGTTTTCTTGTATTATATTTGAATAAATATCGAAATCTTATGAATAGGTATTTTAAGATGTATAAATGTTAAAACAAGTTTGTAACACTAATCTAGTCATGCCGAGACCCAATTATTACATAACGGTTTAGTAAAAAAAAAATACATATAATGTATTCGCAGTATAAATTCGGATGCATAGTTTAACTTGTAAAAATCATTGTTAGAGATCAGGCGGACATCCGCGGATTACTAACCAAATTTATATTGATAATATACATATTGAACAATGTATTTTAAGTCTCAAATTACTGGACCGCTTCGGACCGTAAAAGTATTCGACTATATAAGTGAAATTTTAACTAAAAAAAGTACTTCAAATAGGCCGTCATTCGAAATCATTTTATTCGACATAATTTACATGCAAAATAGTGCTGTAATAACTCATTTGAAAGATAATACTTGATTTTATTAATTTATGCATTAAAAAGAGAAGTTTTGAAATTAACATCTATTCTATGCTAATTAGTAACACCAAAAATATTATCAAAAAAAAAAAATAATTTGAAAAAAATTAAAAAAAAAAAAAGTTTTTCAATTTAAAGCTTAGAAGCATATG